TTGTAGACTGCAAGGCATCTGTTCATTCTTTTCCCTGTTTGCGGTGCTATATCTCTGATGAGTGTTTCGCTTCAATCATGTTCCGGCACCGAGTGACACCATGCCATCTCCCCAGCTTCCCCGCATCATGGGACGATAGCCCGAAATGCCGATGCAGGTCCATGCAACCCGCAAGAATTACCTTCCACAGGCGACCAAGTCTGGATATCATCAACCAGCCAGAATTCAGGGGCCACGAGGTGGTCACACGGTTCAGAAATGGACACTAAGAGAATTTCATCCGCGTCTTTGATTGCCGGCTCTCACTATGTAGTAGCCGGCATGTATTTAATTGGAGCATAGCCTTTCTTTTAGAGCTCAGCCAAGAATCATGAGACTTTTCTCTTCGTTACTCGCGTGCTGCGTCACGCTTTCTTCTGCGATCTCCATCACTTCAACCAAGAACTGGAACATCACGAATGATGTGGAGGGTTCAGTCCGTCTCAATGGCCTTGCTTTCCAACAACACGCCTTGACCACCTTTGGCGACTACCAATACGTCGCATTCTACAAGACAGCTTCTGGATATGGCAAACATCATGTCAACCTCGGTCGGCGCAAAATCAACCCTGCTTTGAGTGATTGGCAGTACTTTGCGTTCACAGACTATGTGCAAACGACTCTCGATGAACACAACACTATCAGCATGGGCATTAGCGGCGACGGCAAGATTCATCTGAGCTTCGATCATCACGACGTACCACTCAACTATCGTGCGAGCAACACAGGCATCGCTAAAACAATCCCCGAACAGTGGACAGCCAGCGCCTTTGAAGCGGTCCAACACAGTCTGCCTGGCTCAACCGGACCATGGACGCCGCTCACATACCCTCGGTTCGAACGCCTCGATAACGGCGATCTTCTGATGGAATTCCGTATTGGTCAGTCTGGCGCCGGTGACTCGTACATACATCGATACTCTGCAACATCTGGGCAGTGGAGCGCGGTCGGCAAATATCTCCAAGGTCAAGACAACAATGCATACATCAACGGCATCAGCAGCCAGGGTGGAAAGCTCTTCGTCTCGTGGACGGTGAGGGAGACACCTACTCCCTCGACGAACCACGACTTCTACTTCGCCTTGTCGGAGGATGATGGCAAGAGTTGGAAACAGACTAATGGTCAAACTGTAGCAAAGCCGATAACGCCATCTACGCCTGGAATCAAGGTGTATTCAATCCCACAAAACAGCCAGATCATCAACCAAGAAGCCCAGTGCGCTGACCAAAAAGGCCGATTCCATGCCCTCATGCGCGATAATTCAACAGGGACGGCGCAATTCTACCACTATCTCCGGACTCCAGAAGGCAAGTTTTCCAAGACCGCCATCAAGACGCCTGGTCTGTCAACACCACCATATCTTGCCTATCGAGGTAAAATCGCCGCCGTAGGCGACAACGTTTTCGCGATCCTACCAGATCAACCGAAGATGACTGTGCAAATTTGGGCCGCGACAGCCGCCGGAGCATACAACGACTGGAAGAAGTTGGCCGAGGTACCAAACGCTGCTGGTGAGCCGTTGGTGGACGAAGAGAGGCTGGATAAATTCAACGTCTTGAGTCTTTTCATCAGGCAAGGTGGGCCTTTCGGCACACGAAAAGTACAAGTCTGGGATTTTGCACTCGCGCTTTGAAGAACGGAGTGCGCTCTTGACTCAGACTGGGGCTTGGTCTTCGTTCGAGCTGGTCGCCATGGCATGTACCAGTACATTAGTTCCCACAACACCAGCATTAGGACAACAAGTTGAGGCTCTAATGCCCTTATTCCCGCACATTTTGTCTTGGCGCACTGACGCTCCTCATTTACTGCTGCACGCCAACCTAGGAAAAAACTGAACAGCCTGGAGCCTACGTTGACGTTAGGTCACCTACTTCGCAAAGATTTAGGTCAATGTAGTCTGCAGATCTGTTTAGTTTTTTTCTTGTATGAGGTGGCTGCTGACAGAACAAGATCGGAGCATGGAATGTTTCTCGGGAAGATTTTGCTTCGCGCTAGCACGTCCGTTGACGCAATAGCACATCGGTCCCATCAATCCTAACCCAACGCTTAAAAGTAAACCTGGGCAACCGAGTACGCACGTTTACCCCAGGCCTGAATCTAGCTAGGTGCGGCGTAGCCTTTGAGTGGTTTTGCGGAGAAGGTACGTACTTGGAAGCTCCGATATGCCCAATTCCCTCGATGCCGGCTCAACCTCATCATGCACCCACCGGCTACAGTACACGGATACGAAAATGCTGGTACCCATGGGGTGATAAGCGGAGTAAGATGGAGAGAGACATGCGGGGCACGTCCACATCTGGTTTTGTCATCACAGGCGATGCGAAAATTTGCCGTCTAGTCCCGGATGCATCCCGTCCTTCGAGAAGCATAAAGCTGGCGGTATATCTCTGATTGATCGGCATCGGACCGGAAATCATCTCACCATGCCTTCCCATCTCTCTGTCCTCGCAGCCATCGGTGGCCTGCTCACGTTTGGACATGCCCAGAATTCGTCAGCCCCTTCAGCATCAAGCACATCGACGTACTCGCAACCTAATGTACCGACTGGGGTCCCGATTTCAGGCGACTACGATGAGCCGCTTCGACCTCAAGTGCATTTCAGCCCGCCCGCTGGATTCATGAACGATCCAAACGGCATGTATTTGGACGAAGACGGGGTTTATCATCTTTATTATCAGTACAACCCGACCGAGAACATCGCAGGAAACCAACACTGGGGCCACGCGACCAGCAAAGACCTGTACACATGGACAAATCAGCCCATCGCCATCTTCCCCGGTGGTCCAACCGAGGGCGTTTTCTCCGGATCTGCCGTCATCGATCACAACAACACCAGCGGCTTCTTCCCGAACCAGACCAACGGCGTAGTCGCGATCTACACCATCAATGTTCCCGAGAACCAGACCCAGCACATTGCCTACTCCCACGACAACGGATACTCTTTCACCAAGTACGAGAACAACCCTGTCATTGTTCCCGGTGGAACCAACCCCACTCAATTCCGTGACCCGAAAGTCATCTGGTACGAGCCTACTGAGAGCTGGGTCATGGTCGTGGCTTACCCTATCGACTTCAAGATCGGCATCTTCACAAGCCCTAACTTGATCGACTGGACTCCGACCAGCAACTTCTCCAGCTACGGAATCACCGGTCTGCAGTACGAGTGCCCGAACATGGTTGAGATGCGCGTGCAGAACTCTACTAGCGACGAGTCCAAGTATGTTATGTTGATTTCCATCAACCCAGGAGCTCCTCTTGGCGGATCTATCACGGAGTACTTCGTCGGTAACTTCAACGGCACGCATTTCGAAGCTGATGACGCCCGAACACGCCTCACGGACTTCGCGAAGGACAACTACGCCGGTCAGTTCTTCTATGGTATCCCCGCCGACGAAGACCAGGTTACGCTCAACTGGGCAAGCAACTGGCAGTACACCAACGTTGTCCCCACTGCCGGCGAGGAAGTAGGCGATGGCTTCCGCAGCGTCATGACCGTACCCCGAGGTCATTACCTCAAAGATCTGCCTCGCCAGGGTCTGTCTTTGATCTCGTACCCCTCCAACATCATGTCGATCGTGGAAGAGGAGCTCGCTTCCACTGAAATCACCAGTAACGGCACTGCCTTCGTAGACTACTCCACCGTCGAGTCAGGCGCACTTTACTTTGAAGTCAATGTCACTGGACTCACTGGCGGTCCTTCCCTCGCGGGATCTATTAGCTTTACCTTCCAGTCTTCGGTTTCCGGCGAGTCGATCTCAGGTGGAACCTTCCTCTCATCTGGCGATGTTTGGCTGGACCGCGGAAAGACTGAGGCTTTCCAGAGCCCTTACTTCAACGACAAGTTCACTGCCACCGGTCTTTACGACGATAGACAGGGCTCATGGAAGATTTCGGGTATCATCGACAGGAGCATTATTGAGGTCTTCCTGAACGAAGGCGAGCTTGGTGCGACCGCAGTCTTCTTCCCTACGCAACCGCTCGACACGATGATGCTGAGGGTGGCGGGCTTGAACGAAACAGTAACCGCCAGTGTTGGCGTTTGGTCTTTGAAGGCTGCTTGGTTAAACCAGGCCGATGCCAACGGCACAGTTTCCGGTAACACGACCGAGGGTAGCAGCGCAATGTTGGGCTCCGCAAAGCTCTTCTAAGCATGTTAGCATAATACAGTAGTATGTGTGCAATAGTAATATCCAAGGCGGACTTACACCCCCAATAATCACTTAGCCCTTCTACATGACGTCTCTACTATACCAAGGCATATTAGACCTGCCGTTTTAAACACTATGACCGTGAGAATACTGTATCATCTGACTTACTGCGGGTGCCACTTAATCCGCAACCCGATAGATTCTCCACTCCGCAACTCGTGATCCGGTGGCAAGGGTGACATGGTGGGGACCAGCCCCTTTAGCGTCCGCCTCCACACCCGAACCTTAATGGCGGATACAACACCCAATATCGTTACGTGCATACTGTTACTGTCGCACGGCTTCGGCATATGTCCCACTGCCGTCATTGTGAGGCAAGACATGTGTTGATGCGGAAGAACTCTACGCCGAAATTTTCCGCTGCCACTGCGACCGTAAAGTTCGTCTACGGAGCAACTCCGGCTGTAATCCGGTTCGTTGGAACTCTACCAAGCGCCGGCGCAACCTTGATTCTTTGAACATCCTCATTCGCGGATGGGTCTTAGCCTTAATGTGGGTGTTGTGAGTGGCTCGTCGTCTAAGGCTTCGCCGCAAGGAAACGGTCGAGCGCCGAGGTAGTACCACTACATCGTGTATAGACTACCCCGCTTCCAGCATTATCCAAGAGCCAAGTGGAAGTTAGTGAGAAGATGGTGTGTGCGGGCGCGTTACCTGAATGAGGCGCCGAGATTGAGTCGATTGCTATATTTAATAAGAGAGCGACGATGAGAGTATGTAGAGAACATCATCCGCTCCGTCTAATCCCACACTACAATGCGTACATCGACCTTCATCAGAGCGGCCGTGGTGCTGGCCAGCAGTTACTCAGTTGACGCCGATGTAACGACCACAATTGACCCAAAATCGAACTGGGGTACTTGGGAAGGCTGGGGAACGTCGTTGGCATGGTGGGCGCAGCAATTTGGCACCAGAGACGATCTTGCGGATATCTTCTTTACGCTGAAGCAGACCAAGTTCAACGGCGAGACTCTTCCGGGTCTTGGCTTCAACATCGTACGCTACAATGCCGGCGCCTGTAGTTGGAACACCATCGATGGGGAGAAGATGGTTGTGTCTCCAAATGTAAAAAGGTCGAGGCAAATGGAAGGCTACTGGTTGGACTGGAAGAGCAGCGACCCTGCTTCTTCTAGTTGGAATTGGTATGATACCTAAATCCCCGGTGTGACACGAGGCTGTTTACTAACCACCGTCTGTGCTCCAGGACGGTTGATGTCAACCAGCGAGCAGCACTCCAGAAAGCGATCGCACGTGGAGCAGACAGAACAGAGTTGTTCTCAAACGCACCGATGTGGTGGTAGGTACAACTCATGGACAAAATGTGTGTGACGGTATTGACTTGTTCAGGATGACCAAGAACCACAATCCTTCGGGCGCAAGTGACGGAAGCGAAAACATCCAATCGTGGAACTTGGAGCAGCATGCAGTCTACATGGCAACGGTCGCAGAGCATTTCAAGGACAACTGGGGGGTCGAGTTCGAAACTGTGGACCCTTTCAACGAACCGAGTGCGAACTGGTGGAAGGCTGACGGCACCCAAGAAGGATGCCACGTTGATGTGTCCACCCAAGCCAAGATCGTCGGTTATCTCGACACGCAGCTCTCGAATCGTGGGCTCTCAACAAAGATCGCCGCCTCAGATGAATCGTACTACGATCAAGCTGCCACCACGTTGAAGACAATCGGCAGTAGCGCACTCAGCAAGATCGACCGGATCAATGTTCATGGCTACCAGTACGGAAGCGGCGACCGCGCCGGTGTTCACACACTGGCTACACAAGCCGGGAAATCCCTCTGGAACAGCGAATACGGTGATGGCGTGGCTTCTGGCGAGAACCTTGCCAAGTACCTCTTCCAGGATCTTCGCCAGCTGAAGCCTACGGCGTGGGAGTACTGGCAAGTCCTCGACCAGGGAGGCTGGGGCCTCATTGACGCGGACAATGATGCGAAAACGCTGGGCAAATCGACACAAAAGTACTACGTGCTAGCGCAGTTCGCCCGGCACATGCGCCCGGGTATGAGAATCCTCGATGGTGGCCGAGACAACGTCGTCGCTGCCTACGATGCTAGTAAGTCGTTGTTGGTCATTGTGGCCGTGAACTGGGACGCGGCACAGTATATAAACTTTGAGCTGTCAGGGTTCTCGGGACGTCCTTCGTCGGGCGCAACTGTCTCGAGGTGGAGCACCCAGATCGGGAGCGGCGATCGTTACGTGCAGCATCTCGATACCACGATCAGTGGCACAAAGTTCTGGTCGAAGTTCGAGAAGAACATGGTGCAGACTTTCGAAGTAACAGGGATCAAGTTGTAGAGCATAGCGCATACGATAGTGTGCTAATACATAACTGTTCCGTTGATGAGGTGAAGCGTTCGTTCGCGGCGTTGGGTGCAGGTCCACATCGTGTTATGTTATCCGATTCTTTGCTTTCTTCTGACCCATACCTCTTGATCTTCATTTCCCGACCTTTGCTGGATTTCCCAAACTTGAAGCCTATAGCTACCGCGGTCCGATCGACCGGTATGAAGATCGAACGACCAGTCGTGCTTTGGACACTGAATGCCTGAACTGAGCACGACGCCAAAGTCTTCGATATCGAAGGGTGTACCATTAGAGAGTGGATACGAAGAGTGCGGGCATTCCTGTGCGGGTCTTGGTCAACATGGGCCCAGTGCATATAGTGCCAATGTCGTGACGTACGTGGTTCACCGCGACAAATTTTCCTTTGTACTGGAATACCATTACTTGGTCCTTCGCATCGCCACCAACTTCGGGGTCCTTCCAGTCATCAATTGCTACCTCCGTGGCTTTGGAGCTGTCGTCGCGAGGCACGTGGAATACCCGGCATCCAGCCACATACTTTTCGCCGCATGGGCGCTGTTCGCCGACGCGCGCGGAGTCGTCAAGATTTGGGTACGACGTCACTGCGCCAGCGCAAAACCACGCGTTACCAGCCTGAGATGACCGAGAAAACGGATTGACCAGGAACGACATGCTGGGTGGCGATGACGCCGATGTGTGCGACGCGTTGATTGCACGCGACGATGTACGATGGTGGGTGCCAGGTCTTCACTAGCACCACGCTAGCCGCAACGGAAAGCGGCTAGACTGGTCCATGTCAAGTTGTCAACAGAGACTTCCACTTCCACGCCCTGTGGTCAAATATGGAAGTCCGGTTCCAAACATGGAAAATTAGAGCGCTTAGCAAAACAGCGTAGACAATATTTAAATAGCGAGATGGCTTCAAAGAGCCCGCATGTGTACAATTCTACGCTCCTTGCATACCATCGCACCTGTCTTCAAACCTCGACTAGCTGATATTCGTCGCTCATATACAACTACATCCAAAATGACGAACACCCAAGACCCTTCAAGTTATCTTGCCAACGCGCGCATCGCCCCAGAAATCTTCCAACTTCGGCCTGATTATCGCGCCCTACTTATGGTCGTCAGCAACATACCACCAGGCCCTTCCGACTCAGCAAGCGAGGCTTTCCTCTCCTCGGCAGAAGCATCAGCCAAAGAAGCACTCACAAAAACGCCGGTGAACGATAATCCGCATGTCGCGCACTGGAAGGAAGCCTACAAAGCCTTCGGCGCAAAGCCCAAGAAGACCATGAACAGTCTCGAAGCCCTGTTACGTCGTGTTGATGCAGGCCTACCGCGTGTGAATCGCTTGACGGATATTTACAATGGAATTTCCATCAAACATCAGATCCCTCTTGGAGGCGAGGATCTTGACAAATACCAAGGAAGCCCTTTCCTGATACGCGCAAAAGGCGATGAGAAGTTTGACACAAAATCTGGCGGCGAAGTCGTCATTGAGCACCCAAGTCCCGGAGAGGCAGTCTGGTGCGACGATGGTGGTGTGACGTGCAGACGTTGGAATTGGAGGCAATGCTCGAGGACTGCATTGAGCGACGGCACATCGAATGTACTCTTCATTCTGGATGCGTTGAAAGCCATCGATGATGCGAAACTGAATGCTGCGGCGGACGAGTTAAGTCAAGAACTGCAGAAGCTGTCCGCAGATGTAACAGTCGAACGACGTCTCTTGACATCGTGAATACTCTCCATCATGCAACAGTTGCATTGTACTATGTATTTGCTACCTATAACACGTTGTAGTCTCTATTGGGTATTGACAATGATGGTTTATAGACTGTTTATGATGATGTCCGCAGCCTGTCCAACGTTAGCGTATATCTTGCAACATTTACAATCCCACTGACCTTCTCTGCAATCGCATACGCTGTTGAGCTAGTATGTGCACTCGGTAGGAAAGGCAGAATACTGATATCAACAACGCGCAATCCGGCCGCACCATGCACCCTTAGATCTGGCCCTACCACGCCTCCCAGATTCCTCGGTATCATCGCAGCTGTGCAGCATGGGTGCAGATGCGAGAGTACCATGGAACCCTTGATGTAAGATTTGAGGTCTTCGTCTGACTGAACAGCTGGACCAGGAGTGGCTTCAACCGCACCGTACCTGCGCATAGTCGGAGTATCCAGTACCTTACGAAGCCATTTGATGTGCGCAATGTGGATAGAGAAATCGATGGGACTGGAGCCAGCGCGGTAATCAAGTATAGGCTGAGCTAACAGGTCGGTTGAATTGAGGTGGACAGTACCGCGACTCAATGGATGGAGAATGATGGGGCGCATAGTCGTCCCAGTCGCAAAGGGTACTTCTGCACTGGGGGCTTCTGGGTTTGCGAGAAGGTCGGCAAGGACGTGAAGCTGACGTTTGTAACCAGCAACGAGGCTTGGGTCGGAGTTCTCTGGCAAATGAGCAGCCGCTGAGTCGCTATCAGCCGTCTTGCGCATTTCCTCAATAATTTCCATGTACTCCTCGGTCACGTTGGGGAGTGAGATGTACAGGGCAGTATTACTCATGGCCAACGTGTAAGGGCCTCGTGCTGGCATCATATTGAATTCTGCTACTGCTCTGGCGGCATAAGCAGGATCAAGCATGTCTGAAGGCATATTGGAGAAGTTGCCAGGCTTCGTATCTGTGACACAGTCAGTGATCAGAGCGTCACCCTTAACGAGCAACCTGGATACTCACAGTTCCACGATATGCCGGGAGAAGAGTGATCTTGCAAGTTTGAGCCTACTCCAGGAAGATCCAGTACCGCGGTGATGTTCAAGTCATTGAGGAGAGCTGCAGGGCCAATGCCGCTCCTTTGTAGGATGGTAGGTGTGTGCATTGCGCCGGCAGAAATGACAACTTCGGCTTTGGCGGTTACATTGAACACTTCATCGTTAGAAAGAGATCGTATCTCTACCCGTGGTGGCCCGTGTGAGACGCCGTCAGTGTAGACAACCCTGATGACCTGATGCTTGACCAGCAAGTCGTAATTTGGTCTACCCGAAACGTCGGAGTAGTGGCCTAAACCAGCGTGCGAGCGCCTGGCCGTGACTGGATGCTGAGATATGGGTACCCAACACATGCCTTCTTTGTCACCACCTCCACACTCATCTAGGGCTCGGATACCCATATCTCTCCAAGCATCCCTCGCGAGGTGAATGTCGCCCCATAGAAAAGGTGGGAAACTCGAATGGATGGGAGTCGTGCCGCCATACGCGGACATGTCCCAAGTGAACCCATACTGTTCCACCACGCTTGGCTCTGGTGGAGTGAAGGTCACGCTCTATATCGAGTCAGCTTAACGTCAGGCAAGAGCGGCAACCGTACTCACCTTCTTGAAGTAGGGAAACAGGCTCTCCCAGTCCCACTTGGCCGTACTGTTTGCAAACTCAGGACCTCCAATCTGAGTCCAAGCGTCATAGTCATGTCTAGATCCGCGATCAAAGTACTGGCCGTTGATGGCGCTACTGCCACCGACAGTCTGACCAACGAACAGCAAAGCCTGTTTGCCATTCATTTCCGGATTAGGTACTGAGTTGAACGTGAAGTATCCCGCCTTGTCAGTTGGCCCGCCCCAAACGAGGCTTGGCGGATCAAATGCGCCTGGCGCATATGCGACTTCGCCGTACTCAACAACCAGCACTGTTTCTGCGATGAAGGTCAACCAAAAGTGTTTTGTAGACTATTGTGAGGACTTGCTCTCTGGGAAGGCCTCAGTAAGTCGATCAGCTACTGTAAGACCAGCAGTTCCTCCACCACAAATTACGACATCATAGGTAGGCCGAAGCTCTGAGATGTGACGTTTGAAAGCAGCGCGTGGGAGCGCATTAGCGCAAGTGACGGCTAATCCAACTGATAGAATTCGTGGAATCATGGCTGTCCGTTCGAAAGGTATCACTCCGATCGTCTAGCGAGCGTCTTCTCTTATGTCGCTGCTATCGCGTTGCTATGCTGCTGTGCCACCCGAACGCTCGTGTCATTGGCACTCGATAGTGCGCGTTGGCATCTGCCGGTCGTGTGGACCGCTCGTGATCGGTATGAAGTGCTCATTGGTCCTAATCTCCGTCGTAAGTCAGACTTCGTAAGCGTTGCTGTGCATCGCAGCATGCGGTTGTGGTGACATGCGTGCAGGAGCGAGCGACCCCGCTCGAGCAGGAAGGTCCATTAGTAGACTGACTCGTGTCCGTTTCCTTGAGTGAGCATATCGCACATTCATCATGTCTTTGTTTGCGCAGCTCTACGCGGCGAAATGGCTGCTCGTAGCGGTCATTCTTGTGGCCTACGCTGTAGCGACCTTCGTTCGCTACCGGCGCCTTCGAGCCTTCCCTGGTCCGATCAGCTCGGGATGGTGTGAACTGCTGCATATGCGCGCGATACTGAGTCGACATTCGCATCTCTGGTACAAAGCCGTCGGAGATGAATATGGTGAGTAAATAGGTGGAAGTCCCAAGGTCGCTACGCGGGAGAGGCGCCGTCTCGCCCCTGTGCGGCCCGCTTGCCCCTTGCTGACAGCGGCAAACCTTAGGGCCCCTCGCGCGCATCGGCCCCAACGACCTTATTACGTCGTCGCCAGATCTGCTGGCCCATATGAACGCAGTGCGCTCGCCGTACACTCGCACAGCATGGTACAACAAAGCCGTGCGGATGGAGGTTGGCAAGGACCATGTTTTTAGCCAACTCGACGAGGCTCAGCACACGAAGCGGCGCCAACAGATGGCGTCTGGGTACTCAGGCAAAGAGAATCTGTCCCTGGAATCTGACATGGACGAACATATACACCAGCTTCTGGACCTGATCAGATCGAAGTATCTTTCGACTGCCACGCGGCACGAGCCCGTAGACCTCGCCAGTAAGATTCAGTATCTTACTCTCGACGTGATCAGCAAAATCGGCTTCGGTAAAGCGTTTGGGGACATCAAAGCCGATGCTGACCTCGACGATTATATAAGCGCTGGTCGAGTCGGGTTGGCAATTATGGTCTTCACCGGGGCCCTTGGACTGACACCTTATCTCCATTGGCCACCCATCGCGCGCATGCTCGGGCCCTCAGACAAGGACAAGAGTGGTTATGGAAAGATGAGAACGGTAGCTCGGGAACTCATCGATTCGCGTCTAGAGAAGCCCACCAATAGTCGCTCGGACATGCTTTCGTCGTTCATACGCCATGGATTGACACGCGACGATATCGTGACTGAATCGATGCTCACGATTCTAGCAGGGTCTGACACGACTGCGACTGCTATACGTGGGACGATGCTCTATCTGATGACCAGCCATAGGGCGTACAAAAAGCTGCAGGCCGAGATTGACACTGCCGTTACTTCAGGTCATGCTGCTAGCTCGACCGGTATCGTGTCTGACGAGACGATGAAGAGCCTGCCATACCTACAAGCCGTAATGCGTGAAGGGCTTCGAATTCATCCACCTGTCACTGATATCGCTCCGAAGAAGGTACCCGTCGAAGGCGACACTGTCACAGTCAACGGAAAAGCGTATTTCCTTCCTGGTGGTACCAACATTGGGTATAACGTAATGGGTCTTAATCGGAACAAGGAGATATTTGGTGAAGATGTCGACTGCTTCAGACCGGAACGTTGGCTACTCGATGAGCACAACGAGATCCAGCTTGAGCGCTTGAACGCTATGCGCCGTACTACAGACATGATCTTCGGGTATGGCAAGTACCAGTGTCTCGGGAAGCCTATAGCATGGTTGGAGATGAGGAAGGTCATCTTCGAGGTTCGTGGTTCCAGACTTTCGTGCCGAGTCCTTATGCTGACTTGCGTCTAGTTCCTACGACATTTTGATTGGTCTCTTGCAAGCCCAGAGAAACCGTGGAGATCTAAGAATTACTTTGGCGTCTTCCTGCAAGACCAAATGTGGTGCCACATTACTGAGAGAGAACATGGCTTATGAGGGCCTCTACGTGACGGATGTGAGTCACGTGAAGAGTCGCAGGCCCCAGGGGCTTTCTTTGGCGTCGGCTTAAATTGATCCCAAGGTTTCTTTCCTTGTATTCGTTAACGGCCACTTTACTGTCCAACCAGTCTCTTCAGATAGGACGGAAATCCAATTATTCCGGGCAGGTTGCTTGGGGTTTGTGATGTTTTGTCCAACCTGTCCGTACTTCGACCAAGTTTCCGGTTGAATGACCTGCGCACGGTGCCTTATGCACGGCATATCGTGATGCTTGCGGGGTAATGTGGAGCGAATGTCTACCCCGGACAAGCCACTAATTTGCATCAACTGAATTGCATCAATTCGCCGGCTAATGTGACATCACCATCGTCTTGGCTCTGCTGACCGGCTTCGCAGTTGTATGTAATCGCATCAGGCATCACGTACGTGACTTATCCAGTTCGTAAAGCTGACACGTCTTTCACGGCTGCTCCGATGCGCTTTGCCCGGGCTACCAAGCAGCAATTGCAATGCCAAGATCGCAAACAATTCTAGAGTGATTCAGCTCGGCAAATGACTACCGGTTATGTAGACGGCGATGTGCTCATATTTTTCATTGGTGGATCTTCAGGAACGACGCTTCCGTACAGCCTCATGGAGAAGCTTCAGATGGCAGCTGTTGTATATGAGCGAATGCATATGCGTTGCAAGCATGGCGCAATTCCCCAGATCCTCCCGCCATGAAGCTTCGAAAATCCTGGTTGGCCGCTGTGTGCTTCGCCACTCCCGTTCTCGCATCATCACCAATCGTTCATTCGCAGGCTGGTATATACCAAGGACGTTTCCTGCAGGAATTTGACCAAGACTTATTCCTAGGGGTCAAGTATGCTCCAAAGCCAGTGCGATTCGCTCCCGCTCAGTTAGCACCGGATGCGCCTACAACATACCACAATGCCACGCAGTACGGTGTTGACTGCACAGGATATGGTGGAGACACAAACACCCTGGTTGCCGCAAATTGGACAAAACTAGGAGAGGACTGTCTACACCTGAACATCGTCAAGCCAAGGACAAATGAGACAAACCTCCCGATATTGCTATGGATCTACGGAGGTGGATGGCAGCAGGGTGCTACTAGTGATCCAAGGTAAGCTGTCTAAAGTGACTGCATTCGGGATGGAATACTCATCAGCGTCAGATACAACATGAGCTACATTGTTCAGCAATCAGTACTAAACAACAAGCCCGTCATTGGCATCTCGATCAATTACCGCATGGCAGCGTTCGGCTTCTTATACAGTGAAGAAGTTGAGGCCGCTGGCGCACAGAATCTCGGACTTCGCGACCAACGCCTCGCGATGCAGTGGATCAACAAGCACATATCATCTTTCGGTGGTGATCCTGAGAAGGTCACAATCTGGGGAGAATCGGCAGGCGCATACTCCGTTGGTGACCACATCGCTGCATACAACGGTGACAACGAGGGCCTCTTTCGCGCGGCTATCCTGGAAAGTGGCAATGCTGTCGGCGCACCACTCAACGGTACCGACTGGTACCAACACATGTACGACAATCTGACCGAGTCGGTCGGCTGCGCAGGTGCCGAAGATACGCTCCAGTGTCTTCGTGACGTACCCTACGAGACCATCGCACCATATGGCTACCAAGGTCTCGAATGGTTTCACGTCATAGATGGCAGCCTGATACCTCGGTATGGCCGACAATCGTTGCGGGAAGGCAAGTTTGCGAAAATTCCGCTTATTCTCGGCACCAACACCGACGAAGGCTTTGGTGTGAACGGGGTGAACAGCGACTCCGACGCTATCAATCAACTCGTACACTCCAAACGCTGGAACGTCAACGAGACTGTCGCGGAGAAACTTCTCAAGCTGTACCCGAACGACCCTACACTCGGCGAGCCATACGGATGGGGGAATCGCACATGGCCGCAGTTTGGGTTACAATACAAACGTTACCAAAGTATTGCAACTGATCTGACCATGTATGCTCCTCGGAGATTGCTTGCGCAAAGCATGAGTGAGCATGTCGATCACGTCTACTCGTATCGATGGGATGCGCCCAAGTTCAACAACACACCGGAAACCATCGGCGTCAATCACTTCTCTGAGGTCAGTACTATGCTATCAGTGGGGTGTGAGAAGGATTATAGGATTAACCTTAGAACAGATACCCTTCGTCTTTGGAAACCCAGAACAGCAGTTCACTCCATTGGGAAATAGCACGGAAAACGCCGCCTTGTCAAAACTAGTCATGCGCATGTGGACTTCCTTCGCATACGATCTTGATCCTAATGGTCATGGAAGTAAGTTTGAATGTCTTTCATTATTTGGGTGAGAGTATACTAACCCGCGTTGCAGTATCCCAAGCTCCTGAATGGCCGAGCTATGCCACCAATGCGACCAACTTTGTCTTCCGAAAAGACCAAAGCTATATCGAGGATGATGCTGATAGAGCTGAGGGAGTTGCATACATCAATAGCCTAGTACGATGAGGCTATCTGTGAGCTAGTGCCAAGAGGGCCGGGTAATACAAATGAGTCTTGGTCTGCACGACCCTCGAGATGACTATCTGAGAACGAACATATCTCACGTGATTAGCTTCCAGAGCTGGAAATGTGACCACTTCCGATGGATAGGTACACGAGAACGAGTCTAAGATGTTTCCTCATCGATGTATGTAGGCCAGCTTCGGTCTCGTCCAACATCTCGCAGCTTTGCCAAAAGACTCAATGCCATTCCCAGCAAGGATGGTCTCACGAATTGCGTGAACCTTTTAGTCATTCGCCGAGAATGGCATTGCTGCGTCGATCTCAGCTTGGGTCTTTGAGGACCATATGTCCTGCCACAATTTCTTCGGCGTCGAAACTTCCTCATGCCATTCCCTCGTGTGCATTTCTGTGTTTCGCTGATCGAAAGTGCAGAGATGTTGTGCGAATGACGGGTGAGGTTGTTCCGCAGCCTCAAGGAAGATAAAGAGCTTCGGAAAGCCGGGACAGGTCCAAACATGGTGCGAATCCCAACGAGATTCATTTCTCACGATCTCTTTCCGCAGGGATAGAGAGCGGGTGCGCCACAGCTCAGTTGCTGTAGATAAGTGCTGTTGTAGTTGAGGCAGAAGGTCTCCAATGCGAACCCCATCCGTCTGGTTTACGCTACCCACCACTTGCAGTCCTTCGCCAGACTTCGTTGTCGCGTAAATTCGCAAAACCTTGCAAGGTGGTCGGGTAACAAACATGCTTTGGACAAGCTGCTCCCGGGATGGACTTTTGCCTGATGCTAGGCTTCTGAGATAGTCTTGTATGTGAGGCTTTACCGTAATGGTGTAACTGCCCTGGAATGGTTGGAAGCAATCCCCGAATAAATCGACGAAGTATGGATTCATTTCAAATTGGGACAGATCCATCCATCGATGACCATCTGACAAATAATAAAAGCTTCTCAATTCGTGCGATTTGAAGTCTCGGTGAATGCTGGTATGAAGAGCAGTGAGCATTGAATGTGAGAGTGTATCCGCTTGCGTGAATCGCGCCGTGACGAAAGGCTCAGTCCAACCGAAGCGAAGTTTACCATTGAGTATAGAGTTTGTGACAAAATGCTCCTGAAGTTCTGCGACTTCGTCTTCAGATGGAGAAAGCCGCTTCATGTTCGGTGGGATTGTGTCACCGTGTTCGACAGCTGCGCAGGGGTACGGAGCATGGTACTGTGTATCTAACATGTGGACAACGACCTCTCTCCAACGTCTTGACACATTCCATGCTGCGTAATGAGTCCTTGGGGAGGCGTAGGAAAGGATTTGCTCGAGCAATTCGATGATGTTTAGGGCGCGGTGAGATCCGCCATGACCTGCGTTTCGAGAGACCGACGACGGGACGGGCGACGTGTCCTGGTCTGTGGGCTTGGAGTCGTAGAAAGCAATTCTTTTGTCGATTGTGCGCAGAGCGGAGGCTCTCCATCCTCCGACAGTCTGCTCTAGCTGGTCAGCACGCTTGCGTCCCTTCATGGAGGCAGGTCTCTCAGTGTCGACCATGCTGGCTACTGTGAGACGAGGTGTATTTGAGACTTTGTAGAGATAAGAGGGTGGAAGAGCTTGCAGACTATCCGCGGGAAAATCTGGTCTTTATGTGTATGTCGGATCCTAGGCAGACGGCAAGCACGTGATGTGGACCCTGCAGACCCGTGAACGTTTCCAAGGCTCTGTCGTACCGACCCAGCATTCCAGCGGATGCCGACTCCAGTCAGTCTTACGCTTATGCAATAGGTCGAAAGCGCACTTCTCATACATCTCACGTTTAATGTAGCAACCGTGTCTCGACAGGCCGATGGGGTGGTTGCGTGCCGGTACCGCCAGCCCTGGAGGCATCGAGGGCGAGAGTCGGGGGGGAGGGGGAGGGGCATGACGTTAGATTTCGCGACGAATTCTGAACTCCTCCCGATCATGTCTTCCCTGTATCGCAGACATCCTTTGATCAAAAAGCGTCTTCGTTGATGCAAGATCGAACATCGCAGGTAGGTGACAATGCAACATTACCTAGGTACCTTGGGAGCGCTAGAAGCGGGAGGCACGAGAAGAGGCGCGTGAGAAGGGGCCGCAGACTGGATCCACGGACAACGCGCAAGAGACACAGCTGGAAGTGTCGAAGTCCTTTCCAACGCACGCCGTGTGTAGGACGCACCAACCTCCCCGCGCGCGGTCTCGATGCTGACGCTCTCGCTCAAAAAGCCGCAAGAGGCTTAGCGTGCGAGGACCCTTATCGGCCGGGCGTAACAGCCTGCTCACTTCTTCCACCATTATGAGATCTACGATTGGCGAGAATAGGATATGGTTCAGTTGGTGGCTACAGAGTCATGCAGACGTAAAGGGTAATAGTCGCGCTATCAGCGCTTGGTAAGATGCTTGTTTTGACGGTGAGACCGTTTAGATGAAGGTGTACCGTGGACAGAGGGTATATAAAGGTAGGAGGGAGCGCTGTGATCAGCGACAATAACTCATACTTGTAGCCTTAGTCTTCAGATTACATCTTCTCAACCAAGTCGCATATCATACCGGACACCATTGAACACAAGGCTGCACACCAAGACATCCATCATGGCAACAGGAACTTCTTGCTCGACAGAGTGCATCAAGGGCTCAATCCATGCCGGAACACCCAAAGGCACCATCGAAACACTCCATGGCCTCTCCGTCTACACAGTCGGAAACCGAACCACACCACGCGCAACAATCTGCATCTACTCCGACATCTTCGGCCTGGGACTCCCCAACAACAAGATCATTGCCGATGCCTACGCCGCCTCGGGAGAGTATCTAGTCCTACTCCCAGACTTCTTCAAGGGCGATCCTGTCGGACTCAAAGTCGCTGATGCGCTGCTTCCGGTAGACGCGGCGGCGCAGAGTACCTTTGCGAAGTATACGGGTATCTTGGCCAGTTTGCCGACGTTCCTGATGTGGCAGCGGAGGCATGGGAAAGCTGAGTCGGATAAGATTTGTCTCGATTTCATGCGGGAGTTGAGGCGCGCGACGCCGAGCGAGAGGAAGATCGGTATGGTTGGGTTCTGCTGGGGCGGAAAGTATGCTGCTCGTACGGGGTTGCAGAACAACATGATTGAGATCCACGGGGTAAAGAAGCCGCTTGTCGACGCGATCGTCGCGCTACACCCAAGCCACCTGGTCGTTCCCGAGGACGTTGAAGGTCTCGTCGTCCCTACGAGCTTTGCGTGGGGTGTGGAGGATATCGCTGTGAGCTTTGAGACGAAGAGCAAGGTGGAAGAATGTCATGCGAAGGCACAGAAGGCGCGAAAGGGGTTCCCTGAGATCGAACACAAGGCGTATACGCCTGGTCGGCATGGGTTCGCGGTCAGAGGCAACCCCGACGATCCGCAGGAGAGGAAGGCTCTAGAGGACTCGGAGAAGCAGGTGCTTGCGTGGTTCGAGAAGTGGCTTTGAAAGGTATTCTGTAATTCGGTAGCCGTATGTTGGCATAGGTATCATCTGCGCGTATTCAAGAACTCATTATATCCACTCCTGCACCGTTCGCGAGCCAACAGACCTCTGCTGAGCCTCTCAATTCCGCCTGTATTTCTGGGGAATGTTCTTCTCCACGACGCCTCTGAGCTCGAGCCTCTCCCACTCCTCTTGTGCCGCCTCCTTCTCCTCGTGCATCTTGAAATGCGCAATATCCTCTGGGTGGTTCAAGTCTTCCTCCTTCACATCGTCACCGCTGTGGTATTTCTCCCAATGATGGATCTCGTACTCGTACTCGTCGTCCCCGTGGTGGCCTGGGCCCATGCCAAAGTCCGGCAGCTTGACGTTTTCCGAATCCTTTTGCAGAAATTCAGCCAAGGTGATGGAGCCATCCTTGTTGATATCGAACATGTCGAGGATAGTCTGAACGACCATTTGCTTCTTGGTCTCGGAGATGGAGGCGCTGGAGGGGTCTTCGAGACCGTAGGTTTTGCGGATGTCGACGGTAGTCCATAGACCAGTACTGTCGTAGTCGTGCATGTTGAAGAAGGTGGTTGCGTCGTAGCCCGCGATGTGATGCTCCTCTGCAACAGTGTCAGTGAACGGCCCTTCCTGTTGTTTCATGTTGTGAGGATCTGGGGAAGTTCATACCAGCCATGTGTCGCGTCGCCCAGTCGGCATCTGCTGGGACTTCGACTTGCGCATGTTCGGCGCCGCCGTGCGCAGAGGCATTGAGGGCACATGAAAGCAGCAGAAGCGCGCCAAGTGGTAGTTTGAACATGCGATTCATATTTTGTAAAATTGTGAGACTCGAGAGAATGCAAAGGCAGAGTTGAGTCGTAGCCCAAATGTTGACGGCGGCCAGGGGCTCGGTCCCCATGTGGCCAACCGCCGACACTATGTCATAGGGGTCTCGAACTTAAGGTTTCCACGTGCAGCTCTCTTTCACCGCACCACCAACACGACGACCTCACCATGAACGTCCTGGCCCTCCTGAGCCTGTTGCTCTTCATCCCATTTCTCTTCTTCCTCGCATTTCTAGCCGCATCTTCGTGTATGGGCGACGGTTTTCGCGCACGGTTCGCAGGCGTCACATTCAATCCTCGAAACGCATCGTTCGGCCGCAACTACACGCGTGGCTTGGGAGCTGGAAGCGGCGGTTGGGAACAAATCGAGATGGAAGACATGATGGGAGAAGACAGCGACTCGGAATGAGGAACTTGGCACGCGCGACGAGAAGTATGGCTTGACTGCCCATCTCGGTGCTGTACAGGGTATCTTCATCTACACGCTACCGCCGATCTGAGCCTTCTAGAACTCCAGATCCTGCTTCTTCGGCATCTTGCTACCACCAGCCGCCTCTCGCACAGCCTCCTCCTGTGCCTCGGTATCCCCTTCCATCGGCGGCAGGCTGTACTTCGCGATCACAAATTTCCGCCTACTCAGCGTAAACGCCATGTCCTCACCCAAGTCTCCCGCTCCACCACCGCCACCCTTTTCATGAAACACCGGTAGTTTATGAACGGCGAACATACCCTGCGGTCGTTCTTCTTCCTTCGTTGTACCTGCCGATTGGGCAAGCGCTTGCGCACGCGAGTATGGGAATGGAGACAGCTCAACGACACCGTCAGAGAGGATCTCCATCCAGCGGACAAGCCCCGAGGATCTTGGATATAGGGTCAAGGGAATCGTGATAATGGCGGTCAGACGCGTTTGATACTGTCGGAGCAGCGCGCGTAGAGCGTGGAGGAATTGGAGTACGGAGGTCGGGTGGGCCGCCGACGGAGAGTATAATGCCGGCGAGAGGAGAGACGGTATCACGATGCGATGGATCGTGTGTGGTGGTGTCGACTCGAGCTGCTGCCGTATGTTTTGCAATATCGGAGGGAAGGGTGACGAAGTGCATGTCGGTGGAGGTATGGGCACATAGTTGATCGCTGTCCCTACAGGGAGCGTGAGACGTTTGGCGAGATCGAAGGTATGGCAGAAGACCATCTGTTCTTCTGTCGCACTATCGCCTTGACCTGCTGTCCTCTGCACATTGGGAGAGCCTGTTGAGAACTTCGTCAAAACTGCTCGATAGATGGTCTTGCATTCGCAGAGTATATGTACACAACGCACCTCTAGCACTCTCAAACTGCCCCAGACCTTCATACCTCCAGGCGATCTTCATCTTCTCCGCTCGCTCCTTCCCTTCCTTTCTCTTGTCCGACTTGTCTTCTGATATGCCTGGCAATTCCCTGCCCCACACTTCGCCCATGCCTACTACATGCACCTTATGGCCCTGCACCACTCCCTCAGCTGCATAGAACCGCAGTAATGCGCCGGCATAGTCTGTCGTCCCGCTCTCGCCTATGATCATCGAGTTTCCTAGCGCTAGGCCAGCATGTCCTGCTAAGATGCCATCGAGCGAAGGTGTGCCGGTCGACGTGGTGGGGCGGCCATCGATGGGTGAGGGGCGGACTCCGGGGGGTGTTGGTGCAGGTTGTGCTATCGAAGGTGAAGATGGAGCATTTGACGCGTCTTCGCCTGCCGGTGCGCGAGATAGCGCGATGTTGCGCTTGCGAAATGCCATTTGCGAGTGTCTTTGGCTGTGAGTCGCGCCCTGTCGAAATTGTTAGAGGGGGCTATCGATAAGCGCGTGTTAGCGTCAGACGTCATCAACCCAGCAGTCGCGACTGCTCGATCAATACAAAACGGGAATCGAAATTGATGTTTCTGCTATTTCCAGCTCGCCGACTAAGAGAATCCGAGCTGCGACTATCTATCTGCTTCTCGATACCGGGCGGTGATTCATCTCGGTCCTTTTGCCCCGATACAGCATCTCCCCTCCATGGTTTCCTAGCATCACACTCATGCCGATCGCATCAAGGCTCACTCGCCCGAAAAAAAACCGGGACATACTCCAAAGACGACCGCAATCCCTCTTCCAGTGCAGCTAGTCATCAGACGTTCCACGTGTATCCGAGCCATCCTACTGTATCTCAGCATTGCGCCCGCTTCAAGGTAATCCCAGATGCTCATTCCACGCCTAGCTCTCCATAATCTTGCTCGAATGCTTTCATAATCGCCTTTTTCTTTTCATCTGTACAGTCTGCGACCTGTATCTCGAGCAGCTCTTTTTGGTTCGTGTAAAAAGCTCGTGCTTTCTGCAACTTGGCTTCCGTGCTAGCGCAATCTTCCTTTCGCTTTTTCTCCGACTCTATCTGTCTGTTCAGTTCTGCTCGTATTCTCTGTTTCGATAGGCGGGTATCACTGATCTCATTCTTCAGCTTTTCTCTCTCTTTTGCAATCTCAATACAAGTCTTGTCGAGTTGTCCTTGCAGGAGCTTGTTTCGATCATGAAGAGCTATTCTAGTTCGATTAGCGTCGATACGCGCCACTCGTTCTTCAGAAAGTTGAGCTTCGAGTTGGCGAATTCTTGCTACATGCGCCTTTTTCTCGACTGATGTGAGGGCCAGAAACTCGTCGACGTTCTTTTGGACAGCGCTCTGCTCCTTGAAGAATTGCTTCATCTGATCTTACAGTCAGTGCCATATAGGTCACTTATCTGGGGCTGATACGCCTACCTGGTCTGTATGATGCGTTCCATGTTTCTCTTTGTCTATTCTGCGTAAGCCAGGAGACATCGCTGGCACAATTCAATGATTGTGGTTATAACTTACTCTTTTCTTCAATCCTATTGATACTGTGAATCTCGGCAGCGCGCTTCTGCTCTTCTTTGGGCACAGTATCTTGGCCTCGTTGATTGATCTTATTTGGTGTTGTAGCTGGTGTCTGCTGTCCATAGAGAACCGTGGATCGAACAGAGAGCAGTCGTTCTGCTGCATCATGACCAAACTGGTCGACTGAAATGTCGTTGAGCGGCGCTCCATTTGCGACAGACTTGACTGCCCATTCGAAACTACCCAGAGCCCAGAAATATTCGAATTCTGGTATGGCACCCTTCAACATGAAATAGTATTGAATCAGAGCACGCAACTCGTAGCCACTTTTCTGCCCTCTCTCACGATATGAGATTCCGCTTGTCCTGAATGCAGGTTTGAACAGACGGCCAAGATTAACGCAAGGCGACGGGCACGTTAGCCTCAGTGTACGTTCCAGACCGCATAGTTGGTAGACGTCGTTAAAACGGTCAAGACTCTGGTAAGCCCATACTGCTTCGCCCGATTTGTTTGTGCCGATACGTAGCCTGAACGGAGCCTGAACGGAGCCATCTTGAGGCCTAATTGCGCTTTTGTTCGATATGGCGAGGCTGATTCCCACGGAAGCCCTGCGACTGACGGTAGCTTGGCGAATTCTTTGGGGAAATATTTCTTTGCGTAGTCCTGGATGTTCTGCAGAGTGATTGGGTTCGAGTTCGACATCTGTTCGGGTGTGTAAGCATTCATTTGAATTCCGATTCACGAGTCTCAGACCTTGATGACTTATCGGATACCCATACAGACCTCTGTTTCGGTAGGATCTTCAGTTCTTTTTGGGATTTTGCGACCGTGGTAGATGATTGGAGTGTGATGCTACTTGCAGTTGATTCCACTTCGACTGTAGGTATCAATGCTGTAGAAGGCAAGATGTGGAGCAAGAGTTTCTAGGAACAGACGGATGTGAGTATATATACCTTACAGAAACAAATCAAGTACTAAATCAGGGTAAGAGAGTCTCTCACTTCGACCTGACCCTTATCTCTCGTCGGGTCGTTGCTGACCACACTACAGGTGGAGAACATCACTTGGAACAGTATTCCCATCTTCCAATACAGGTGAGTAAAGTCACAGAGGTATCACGTGTCTGCCTGCGATCTCTGGGTTTAATTAGGATAATTGACGCAACACGTTGTTGCTGAGGTTGGTGATTGTACAGTAAACCGCACATTCCTGCGTTTACATCCAAGATCATGCTGCATTTATTGTTTCAGTCCGATGTGTAGGTATGCCTCTGAGCGAATGCCAGCACACAGAAAGCAGGTGCGCGTCTCTTGACGCGACATCGGCTCATTTCGATAGTGCGGAAGCTGCACTTGATGCACGGCATTTCGGGAACTCTCCGTTCGCAGTTATTTGCAGTTTCTCTAAGAACTCGAAAAGAAAGATCCGAAGAAGGGCAATGCGATAACATACGTGATGGGTGGATGACTGGAAGTGTGATGCAAAGTGTGAGTGTGCTTTTGTTCGTGCCCAGGTGCTTCCTTCCCATCGTCTCGCGCTAGTATTCCGAAACGGCTAGCGGCAAGTACTAGCGCCCTTCCAAAGAAGGCCGGCCAGCACTCGATGCGTTCAGCATCTTCGACACAGCTCTACCTTTTCCCTTTAACTCCACTTCCGACTTACGGTCATGGCGGATGATGAGGAGATTGAGTCTGCTCTGATTCCTAGTCTCTACAAACCGCCCGCTTTGCTACCAATCGCGCAACTCAAAGAACACCTCCTCTACACCATAGAAACATACCCTGTGACCATTGTTGTTGGTGAAACAGGAAGCGGTAAGCTTTTCGAATCTCCCACAGAAAGTCAAAACTGACATGTTGCCTCAGGAAAGACAACACAGATACCAAAATTTCTGCTAGAAGCTGGCTGGTGTAATGGCGGCAAGCAAATAGCGATCACCCAACCCCGGAGAATAGCATGTACTAGCGTAGCCGCAAGGGTAGCAGAAGAGCTGGGTACGCCTCTTGGTCAACAAGTCGGGTACAGTATCAGATTCGAAGATGTCACGTCCGCAGCTACGCAGGTGAAGTTTGTCACAGATGGCCTGTTACTGCGCGAAATGCTCGTCGATCCGCTCCTTTCACGCTATTTAGTCATTATGGTCGACGAAGCACATGAAAGAAGCTTGTCTTCTGACATACTCTTGAGCCTACTGAAAAAGGTGCTGAGGAAGCGAGAGGACTTGCGCGTTGTTGTAAGCAGCGCTACGCTAGAGGCGGAACGCTTCCTTGACTTCTTCAACCCCGATGATGGCGAAAAGGTCCACGGCAAGAGCAAGGAAGAATTCGGTTACATAATTGGTATCGAAGGGCGAACATATCCGGTTGAGATCCAGTACCTGCAGGAGCCAACGAATAACTACGTGGAAGCAGCAATCGACACGGTCATGAAGATCCACGAGCATGAGAGCGAAGGCGACATTCTCGTGTTCTTGACAGGACGTGAAGAAATAGACGATGCAATCGACAAGCTAGGTGACCGCATTGCCGACATGTCTTCATCCAAGCAAAGGCTCATGCCCTTGCCCCTCTACGCTGGCTTGCCAACAGAAGACCAAAATCTCATCTTCACAAAACCGCCACAAGACACGCGACGCGTCGTCTTTAGCACCAACATCTCAGAAGCATCTTTGACTATTGACGGCATTGTCTTTGTGGTGGACTCAGGATATGTCAAGCTTCGCGCCTACAACGCCAGTTTAGGCATCGAAAATCTCGCTGTCGTGCCTGTGTCGAAAGCTAGTGCCACACAGAGAGCGGGTCGTGCTGGCCGGACGAGGCCGGGCAAATGCTTCAGACTGTATCCTGAAAGCGTTCACGAAAGCTTGGAGGAAGCCACGTTCCCAGAACTCGCCCGCTCGAATCTCGCGCCTGTGATCCTGCAGCTTCTCAACTTGGGTATCACAAACGTGGTGCGATTCGATTACCTCTCGCCGCCACCATCAGCACTAGTAACGCGCGCTCTGGATCTACTCTACTCTCTCGGCGCGTTGGACGCTCACGCTCGCCTCACGAAACCCCTGGGCACGCGTATGGCGGAGCTTCCGCTCGAACCGATGCTTGCTCGCGCATTATTGAAGGCTGCTGAACCGGAGTTTGGCTGCTTGAGCGAAATGCTCTCAATAGCCGCAATGATGACTCTGCAAGGCAATGCTTTCGTGTCTCATGACGGCGGAAAGAAGCAGCTTGATGCGGCGAGGCGGAAATTTGCCGTAGCAGAAGGCGATCACCTTACATTATACAATGTATACGAGGCCTTCGTGAAAGCTGGAATGGGCAACACAGCGTGGTGTCATTCAAACAGCCTAAACCACAAGTCGCTCGTTAAGGCAGTCAGCGTCCGGAAACAACTGGCTGCTTACTTGGATCGTTTCGGTGTCAAGGAGAATGTTCTCGCGTCATCAAGCGTGCTGAGGGTTGGTGGCACACCACTCGCCGAGCGCGTCCGTCGCTGTCTAACGACCGGGTTCTTCGCACATGCTGCGAGGATGAAGGCAGATGGGACTTTCACGACTGTTGATGGGAAAACGACGTTGTGGCCTCATCCGACGTCTGTGTTCTTCACGCGGAAGGCGGATTGGGTCATATACACGGAGATTCAGTCTACAAGAGACAAGATCTACATTAGGGATATGAGTACAGTGGAGATGGACTGGTTGACGGAGTATGCACCGGAGTTCTACAAGGTCAAGAATAGCGGTCGATGAGACTAGAAGAAAAGTAGCTTGCGGGTATCTATCAAAACTAAAGGCATAATTACATAAGGACATCATGACAGGACTGCTGCTTGCTCGCAATTACTTGCATGCGTCGACGAACAGCTCTCGCATGCCCTTCAGGAAGCTTGCCAAGTCGCGCGTTTCATTCAGTCTGTCCACAACCGTCTCGACCTCTTCGCGCTCGACCTTGGGCCGCATCTCTAGCACTCTGTAGTCGCGCTCGCTGGTGTCCAGTTCAAACCACGCCTCGCGGTCCCACTCCCTCTCATCGACGTTGGTATAGACGAACTTCAGTCTGTCATCCTTGCCCAGCCCTTCAATCCTCAAGCCCAGATAGTTCTCCCAGAAGTCGAGTTCTGGCTCGTTGTACCGGCTTTGGCCGTCGAGGTAGCGGCGGTGTTTGAGTTGTGCTTCTCTGCGTGCAGAGATGGTCTTTTGCACTTCGGCAATTTGGGCGCGCAGGCTGTCGCGGTGGGCTAGGCGCTCGTCGCGCTGAAGGGTGAGGGCGGAGATGGCCTCCTGCATTTCGGAGGTTTCTTGGGATTCCTTCGAAACCGTCTGGCTGTGCTGGGCTGTCTTGAGTTCGAGGATCTCGATGTCGCGCTTCTTCATGCGTTGGTCCTCTGTCGCAATAGTTAGTATGGGTCAGACGAGATGCAGGTGCATCGTGTCTCATCGTACCATGGAGTTCTGCGACATTCATGCGGAACTGGTTGCGCTCTTCCAGTACTCGTCTGCGGCCATTCTCGATGAAAGCGTCAAATCGTGTAGTGAACTGGTTCATGCGACTGCGCAGATCGTCGAATCCGAAGTTGATGCTGGGTAGTTGGTCGGCCATGGACGGCGCATCGTGCGAGGAGGCGCGCATTGTGGTGCTCATGGAGGGCTCGAAGGTCGTCATGATTGCGGTTCGACTAAGACGTCTCTTGTGGCGTATGCGAATATGTGGTGGGGTGCGATGTGACAATGGGTGGTGAGGGCGGATGAGATGGTTGCTCCGTAAACAAACATGCGCGCTAACGCGGCAGGAACGATAGCGGGGCGCATGCACGTGCCGACGCGACTTTTGGCGCTAGTGGAACTTTTTGGCGAGGTTCCAAGGTTACTTTCATCATCGCGTCCGGCGCATGCTCAACCTTGACAGACACAATTTTCGCTCTCGCATACGGCCTTTCGTTTTTCTGCGTACAAAGAATGAGTTTATACTCCAGCGTCGTTACGGATCGAGAACCTTTACGACAGCCCAATGGCTGACAGATCGCTCAAAGATCTGAACTACGGCCATCCCGGTGCAGCGACTTACGACTTGGAGAATAGAGAGTGGACGTTTGCCAGGCCCTATACTACACGCTCATTCAAGCGCATACGAACTTCCAAGGACGCGACTTCTGCGAGCATTCATGCGACACCAACTTTTTCCCTCTCTGCAGAAATCCTAACGAGTAGGACCAGCGTACAGAAAGAGATCAGCAACAGCATCGAAGAACACCCCCAGCTCTCTGCAGCAGCCGAAGTCCTCCCCGATCTAGCTGTAGTATCTGCTGCCATATCATCCACGGCTTCGACCTACGATCCGCTCGTCGGCGACCTACTCTCCTTCGGTTCGATTACACCCAAGGGTAGACATGAGGCATGGCAAATAGCTGCATTGCCGACGGGAGAATCTGGTAGCATACTGCAGTTGTCAATCCTAGACAACGAAAGACACGGTTGGACAGCAGACCCGAAGTCATGGATAGAAGGGCCGACCTTGAAAGATACGGAGAGTGGCTTCTGGAATGAGGACGCGGCACCGATCCAGCAAGTTCACTTTTCGCATTCGGATGACAGCAGACCCTTTCTGGCTGTGCGACTGCCTACTCGTACCGTCCTTTTCCACCCAGACTACCACCGCCGACCACGCGCTTCCGCTGTCTCACCGTTCTACCGCTTACCCGCCTCCTCGATCGAACTCCACCCTATACTCAGCATAATTCAGAACGATACTGATGGCTTTGCTCATGTCGACGTCACATTCAATCCAGACTTCCAGTTGCAGTTTGCACTCGTCGACCTGAATCAGACATGGAGTGTATGGGACATCGAGCATCGGCCCAGACTTGGCACGTACTCGGCTTCATGCCTGCTTCGTGGAAAGATCGATGAACTGGAAGAGGACGGGGACACAGCTTGCGAAGACGGTTGGGCGAGGATTCTCTGGGTAGCTGATACAACGACGTTGCTGGTGTGCAACAGGCGCCATTTGAGCATCGTCAGCATCAAGGGCAGGATAACGTCATACCTTCCCTGCCCAGAGCTTTTCAGTGAGCGATCGGCAGACTGGTTCTTGGATGTCAAGCAACACCCAAGAGATAGAAGTCGGGTTTTCGTCTTGACCTCCACTCGTTTATTCCTCCTTTCGGTCACTGCACCAAGTGAGCTGCTTCCGAGGGCTGGTGAAGCTGGAGCTAGAGTCCTCACATCCTGGCGGCACTACCGGGGCGTGGAGGATTTCACACTCCACATAAGCGTGCAGATGCTGTCGGACGATGGTAAGTTGCAGATCAATCGCGCGACAAAAGCTCTCACTCACAGCCTGATAGAAACTTGTGTTATGCTCCACTCTCGAGTTAACAACTTGGTCCAAATACAAAGCTTCCGCAGCAATACCTCCGATTCTTCCGGCCTCGTTACCAGTTCAGATCCGACCCTGCTAGACCTACCCATCGGTGGATCCGCGCACATAACCAACTTGTACATCGAGCCCATGCAATGGGAATATTCAAAGAAAGATGTCGTCTTCCTCCAACTGTTTGTCACGCTCTCCGACTTAAGTACACGCGAGCTGGTTGTCTGGAGTCGGAGCACCTCGACAGGACATACCACCGAGAATGACCATGCCGTTGTAGACTTCACGCGAAGCACGATCAAACGCCCTAGAAACCTCATCTTTAACTCGAAACCACGCTACAAAGACGAGGATTTTATAGTGCCTAATGGATTGGTCGACAGAGGGTTACCAAGCTCCAAGATTGGCAGGCAGCAGCCAGAATTGCGCAGATCCTCAGACGGTGCTGCCATGCCGGAAACTCGGGACAATGCTTCTCTGGGCGAGATTTTGTCTCAGTCAAAGAGCGCGGCGGAGCAGGTCTCGGGTACCATCGATGCGGTGGCCGTCATGGATCAAGTGAACGAAATGCTGGCGACTGGTGCAGACTTGCCACCTTTACCATTGGGTACTCTGTAAGTGAACTGGGTCTTGTTTGCATTCTGAACTAACAATTGCAGGATGGAGTTCACGCACGCACAGTTCCATGTTGCAAACATTGACGAAGCTTCGTCCAACTTCCAAGAGCTGTTCTCTTCGCCAAATGGTCAAGATACCGTGGATATTCAGCGTATCGCAGCTATACGCGTACTTGGTTTGACCGACGACAGCGACCTCACCATTTCCGACGCATACGATAGTATACTCCAGACGTGGGTTGCGCCTATGCCACCCGATATGCCAATTCGCGTTCGGCAACGCCAAGAACTTCTGGCTCGGCGAGTCGCTACGGAGTTGATTTTCTCAAGCACATGTATACGTGACGATCGGATCCAAGTGCCCGCTGCTAGCATACAGCGTGGGCAGAGTCAGGACAGTGCCGTAGCCTTACCCATCTTGCCTGCAAGACCAAAGGAGGCTACCTCCAACTTCACCTCAAGATATTCTGCCTCTCAGCCGTTACCGACACCGCCATACTCATCTATACCACCTTCGTCTTTGCCTCCATCCTCTGTGTATGGATCGTCCCCACCCGAGATACCTTCCATGGAGCCAGCTTCGTCAGACCCCCTCAGTCGGCTTAGCAAGTATCTTCAAACTTCCAAAGACCCGGTTATCATTCCGCCAAACGTTTCCCAGAGTCTCGCGCATTGGGAATTAGGAAAGGATCCGTGTGTGTACAATTGGGTCAGTATGGAGCGCACTCTTCGGGCGGAAGAACTCGACGAGGAGAGCCAACAACAACGCGAGAAGGAACGCAAGAAGAAGGAACGTAGGGAAAAGCGCCAACAGCGTGAGAACGAGCTCATGAGGGCTAAGACTGCGAGTCAACTTAACGCATATCCGAGAAGCTCTCCAGGGCCAATGCTGGGTGGTATGGGTAGTAGCAGTCAGGTACCGAGTCAGAGCCAAAGTCAAAGCCAGATACCATTCCAGACTGGTGGCTTCATGATGCCACAAAGTCAAGTAGAGCGGGGCAAGTTTGGAGGAAAGCTAGACAAGAAGAAGAAAAAGAAGGGGAGGATCAGTGGATTCTGAGTTTCGGGTTGGCGCATCGTTCCGTACATGTGACTCCGGGATGCAAATGCTACATATGCACAGAGCGGATGCCTCTCATTTGATGCCGTCACCGGTGCGGAAAGAAGGAAGCTCCTCCCCTCAAAGTGGGGTCAGAGGGGTAGCTTCCGCATTCAACTACATAGCTTAGCTCCACCCCAAACCCATCGTACATACCAAGTATTGCATCCAATACAAGCAATCAAATCCACCAAACCATTATCAAAATCCTTTTGCAACATAAAAAAATGGCAGGCTTCCCATCTCTCCAACCCGCTTTCACTGTCCGCGTCGACATCGATGCGCCGATGCAAGTTGGAGGCCAGCATGGCGCGCAGTTGGTCATCGTCCCGATGGTATCCGGTACAGTGAAGAGTGAACCGGGCTTCGAGCCAAAGCTGGATGGAGAGTTGCACGGTACCGGCTACGACTACATCCACAACGATGCCGATGGCGGAAACATGCGCCTGGATGTTAGGAGTCAGGTTAAGTGAGTACAAAGACACACATACCGTTCGAGAGAACATAAAGACTCATGGGTATATAGGAACCACGATGGAACGATTCTAGCAATGTATTACAAGGGCACCGTGAAGCTTACGCCAGACGTCGGCAAAGTGCTGTCTGGTGCTTCGGATGCTAAGACTACGGACTACGGCGATTCATTTGTCAACTTTACTTTCGAGACGGGCAGCGAGAAGTACAAGGAGCTCCAGAATGGGACATATGTTGCTGCCGGCCATTTCATCACAAATGAGGGCAAGCCTGGTGTTGTGGTGGAGTACAAGGTTAGCAAGGTTGTGTACAAGGCGTAAGTCAGCACACGTGTTGGGGGTGAGTGAGGCTGTATCGGGTTGTTATTTGAAGATGCTGATGTCTAATTTAGGGCGAAGACGGGTACATCGCGACCTGTATATAATCCCAGCTTATGATCAATGACTGTTCCGATCCTCTTCTTCCGCTGTGTCCCAGTTCTCTCTACCGTTTTACAAGTCCGCTATTTGTTTCCTCGCATTCGCCAGAACGTGGACTTCTGGGTGCTCTCGTCACAGATCCGTTTGCCCCGCCACGTCGGCTCACCTTCACCTCCTCGAAACTCAACGCGGCGTTTGCTCACACTCTTGGCGCGTCCGACGCGAGCTACAGCCTTCTCATCTTTCTGATTCTCCACATGATAGCTTCATTTCCTTGTCCAACTGCTCACATTGAATATCACCTGCGGAAGGTACACAGAGCGATTCGTCGTCTTCTACTAGTGAGTCCACTGCTTGTGTGTGCCCTGCGAAGATGCACCGACTAACTTCAGAACTAGCTGTACAACGGTTCGACCCACGCGCAACATGCCAAACATCTCGCCCGCGAGCCTGTCATCAAGGAAGAAGTACAGTCTGGGCGACTTTGTTCAGTATGCTACAGGCAAACATGAGGACCAATATGCCGCGGTCGCCGATCTCAGCATATACAAGTTCGCCGACAAAGCATATCTGGACGAGAACAACACACCTTGCCGCCAGCATATGCTCCTCGTCGGTCACTATTGGCGAAAGAGCGGCGGTCGGCCTGCGTGGGCACATGCGACTGGCACTCACATACGCTACTATTCGGGTGAGGGAATTCAGGTCAACCCACTGATCCAGGACATCCAATCCTCCAAGGTCTACTACGGAACGCCCTTCGACGCGATGAGCGGCGTTCACGACTCCAGCAACACCAAGCCTCGTATGACTACAGAACGCAAGCTCGAGCGGGCTTTGGTCGAGTCTGTCATTAACTTCATATTCCTCAAGAAGGGCCATCTGGTACGGGCGTTGGATCTGGAGAGTCCGGACATGCTTGGAAGCTTTAGACTGGCGTGCAGGAACTTTGCGCAATACCAGAAGATGCCTCGGACTGACACGAGATCTCTGGATGAAGAACTTCTGGACATCCAGGCAGAAAACGCAGCAGTACAGGAGCAGGCTCAGTTCATCCAAGGATACAGCGGCGGCAACGGTCTTGCGTTCAGAAGCGGGCCCTCGGCCTTGACGCTCCCTGCCAAACGCTCCTTCGTAGACATGACGGACAGCGCATCTGATGATGCATCGCAGGGTGCGTGGATCACTCATTCCATTTCTAAGAAGCTGCTAACGTTGCAATGCAGGCTCCAACAAACGTTCATCTCCACTCGTAAGTACCTCACTTCTCTTGCCCTGTGCATCAAGACCCTCAATTCGCGCGTGAGCGTCCGCTGACAAGTCATTGTAGGAGTCTGCTGCTATGACCCACGAAGCAGAAATATACGCTGGATTGGAACAAGAGGTGCAGGCTCTCAGAGCTAAGCTTGAACAACAGGAAGCCAAGATCGATGCATCCGAGACTGAGGTCATGCGGCAAAAGGCGAAGAGACGAACCTTACGAACTCAACGAGACGAATGGAAAGAGAAGTACATCACCCAACAGGGTCTTGCTCAGATAGAGGCCCAAGGCGTCAAACAAGAGGAAGGGAGTGAAGATTGGAAGGGGATGTTGTTCGAACAAGAAAGAAAGACTGAGCATTACAAGCTCAAGTACATTGCGCTGAAAGAGGAGAAAAAGGTATGGACGACGCAGGTTTTGGGGCAAGAGAAGGTAACTACAGAGCCCGAGGATGGGGATACCAGCAGAGAGCCCATTCGTATACGGGAAAGTGAAGAGATCGAGAACTCCGGTGAAAACATCCTGCAAGAGGCCAGCACAAATCCAGAGACCAGTCGTCAAATTGAAGTCAGCCTGGGAAAGGGCACGCGAAGAGATATGAGGTCGAAGCTGATCAAGTATTGGGATGAAAACAGAGTGCCTGAGAGGTGGGCTGACTACAGCAAATACCCATCCATCTTGTCTCGAAGGCATGAAATATTGACGAGACTCTATCGTGTATTCCAGGGACTACTCAAGAGCGAGAAAGCTAGGGGTGTTGATATGGACAATTCAGAGGTGCGGAGGACATTGTACAAGGAAGCGGTTGAGCAGATGGATCAGACATTGCAGCGAGAGGTGGCTGGTATTGCGATCAAGGGGCAAGCGGCTGCGGCGGTGTAGGTGGTGGGTTATCCACTGCATAACAGGTTGCAGACTACAATGTGCTATTAAGTTACACACTACAGATAATTGGCACGTCTACCAGCGACAACGTGTCCTCAAAAAGCTAACGTTGTTCTTTATTAGTGATATACGACTACGTCTCAGCATCGCCTTAGTCTAATCTCATATCATCAGTGCCCTTCCCTACTACATGTATTTTTGGAGTTGTTCGAGGTGCATGCGATAGTTGCGTGTTGCGAATCCAGTTAGATTATGAGTGCGAGGCCCGCTTTCCTACAGCATACGTCGTCCACAGAATTATCCTTCCTCTCAACTTCCAGTTTCCCAAATCAGCCAATCGTACAAGCATCCATGAGATTCAAAGCTTGGGTGTTCTTAGTATACAGGCTGTATGTGAGTGCGTCATCCAACAATTGAGCCGTTGGAAGAGGCGCAGAAGTACGACATGAATGAGTTCCAGAAGTTAGTCGCTGGATTCGAGAAAAGATTTAGCAGGATCTAAGATTGCACGACAGCAACATAGTAGATCGGTCGCGATAGAGAGTTATGAATTCAAAGCATTCTTTTCCCATTTGGTTTGTGAGTTATTTGATACGCATTTGAGCGACAGATATATAGCTTTGGAAAAGATATCGGTATGAGAAGGCGTCGTTATTCTCAAGGTTTCTAGTTGCAGAAGTGTTGCAGACTACAATTTGTTTATAGAATATGCAACGCAGAATAAGAGCTCGTTTGCTAACGACGATGTAATCTTAGACAGCTAATGTGATCATTAACAGATAACATACGCTTCCAGCTTAGCTTCACCTTATCCAGAGTGCGTGTCATACATTTAATTGCCTGCTACATACATTGTCCATAGATCATGCCTTCATTGGAGAGTCATTCGTCGCCATCGGGGTTGAGTATAAAGATGCCCGGTTTACACCAGAAGCCCTTGTAAGCTACAGTATTGTTTTACCAACCCAACAAGATGCACACCAAAAAGTTCTCGCTAAAGGACTCCCGGCTCGAGTGCGAAGCCCAGGAGACTACATGCGTCGTCCACAGAATCTTCCTCTTCCTCAACGACCGGTTTCCCAACCCAGCCAATCACCCAAGCCCCCTTTAGATCGCAAGCTCGGGTACCCACCCGCTCCTCAACCTCCATTCCTTCCTTTTGCGCGGCACAACTTACCGCACCTCCAAACACACACCCTCTCCACTCCTCGGCGCCTGCAGTGTGGCAGCACCCGTCTCCGCGATCAGTTGATCACTTGTTGAACCATCGGCACTATTCGTAGCGACAACCGACACCGACTCAGCAACACGAGTCAGCCCTTTGCACGATAAGGACGCGTGAGTCGAGAAAGCATTTGCTTATGGAAAGCCCGACGGAGTCTTGATAGGTCTTGGCTTTTGCCGCGTATCTGCCGTATGGATGCCTTATGCGATCCATCGTAGAGTTGGTTATCTACCGAGTAGTGCATGTCTAACAAGGATCCCCACGTTACGGCACCCAGCACAGTACCAAACACGCTCAACCCGTTTTATGTACGCTCGCGCTCCCGGCCGCCGCGAACGTGGGGAGGAAGGAAGGAAGGGGCGACAGCAAGGCGGCCGTTGTCTTAGTCGTACGTCTTAGTGCGGGATGACATCTCCTGTGAGCTATTTTCCGAATAGTGCCAACGGCGCTAGCTTCAAGGGGGCTGACTGTTGCAAGTGTGTGGACAGACGAGGAAAAAGCAAGTACTCGGGGCCCATCAAAACTTTACTGTTTGCGATGGCGGTTGCAGTAGCTGCGGGCCTGATGCGTCCCTGGGTCTGAGGTTGTGGATATTGATCGTCGCAATTCGATCTTCAGCATGTTGGTGGTGTCGTGGGGATCTGAATGGCAGGTGCGGTCCAGGTGGTTGTGATGACTCGGCTGCTCTCCGCGAATGAGAGCGTGTCAGTGTCTTGGCATGAGGGCGCTCGTGCTGTGGGCGCCTTCGATACATGCAAGCGTTTTGGAAGGACGGTATGATGCTGATGCATACGCGTAAGCATGGAGAGATCAATAGGTGTGATTGGTATCAATGTATTACACTATTAGTCTTGGGACTATGTTACAGTCGACAAGTAAGTCGATGCTAGGATGCCATTGGAGGCAGGTATCTGAGGACTATGCGGCTACGCAACCAGTCGTAGGCGTTGAAACGGCCTATGCGTCATGCAGTGTCGTTATACATAGATGCGAAACTAATGAACAAAAGAAAGAGGAGTGGACAAAAATATGTTGAGTCGCGACTGTGATGACGAAGTGGCCGTTGTGGTCATACCGAAGCGAGACGTGATAGAGAAGGATGCAGACAACCGAGTGTGACAGAGGCGCGTCGCGCAAAATTCCGTCTGATGAGATGGTGGCGCCTCCGATCGGCACCACAACATGCAAAACAAGTAGGTGACCCAATCCGATCACATTATGCCCTTGAGGCCGCGGAAGCCACCAGTTTTGGAAGACGAAGGCTTCTTCTGTTCCTTCTCTTTGACCTTCTTTCCGATGTTCTGAGCGCCGCCTGTCTCATAGTCAGCCTCCGATGTTGCAGGACGTAATACCGATAACTTACCCCGCCCGTATATCCGGACCTCCGATTTCGGATCTACTTTGTCTTTTCTCTCCTTACTTGAGCTTCCATCGGTGTCGGCGGAGAAACTACTCTGCCCGCTAGATTGAGGCTTTGGAGCCTGAAACTGATTGTGGAGAGACGCATCATATGCTGCGGAAAAGTTTGGTCCGTATCCGCCACCAAACCCAGGGTACGGCGATGGCGCTGTTTGAGATCGTTGCGGCTTCCCCTGTTGTAGTGATTCAAGCCGAGCAGGACGAGGTGGTGACGCGGCTGATCCTGGGCTGTGGACGGAGTCCGGCGATCGGTATTCGTAATACTCTTGCTCCTCGCTGGGGGTGGCCTCGGTAGTAGATAGAGGTGTCAAATATCTTGAGCTGTAGTTGGTCGCCTGTCGGAGGCTGGAGTTGCGACTGACCCGTGAAGTGCCAAACTCGATATGACCAGACTTGTCCCGGGGATAGAGCTGTCCCATCTCAGCCTCTCGCTCCCCTTCGAGCTCATGGTACTTCATCTGCAGCTCGGTATATTGCTCGAGGAGGCGGTAATGAGTCTTCTTGAGTTGCTGCATCTTGGCATTGCTCGCTGCAAGCGCAGAGTCGAGCATCTGCTGCACAGAAGACGGCAGTTGCCCTGGTTTGCCAGTGCTTCTGTCGGAAGATTGTAGTCGGGACTCAAGCTCCATGATCCGGCGCTCGTAAGCCTTGATCGACCGCTCGCGTTCTTGCTCACGGCTGTTCAACCGCATGTTTGCGATTTCGAGATCGTTGCGCAAGTCGTTCCGCTCCTGGATGAGGGTGTGTAGCTCCTTCCTCTGGTCTTCGAATGCTATGATCTTATCTTGAGCACCCTCAAGCTCCCGCCTAATGTCGGCGTAGTCTTCAAGCTCGTATTCCAACGCTTTGGTTCGTTGTTGGGCCTTTAGTTGCTCTGCCTCAGCTCTCTCCACAATCTTCTTGAGTTGCTCGTAGTCTGATTGTGTCCTTTGGAGCTCATATCGCAGACCGCCCTCGTCACTGTGCCAGGTCTTTTCACTCTCTTTGTACGATCGCACCTTATTGTTCAACTCACTTTCCCACTTCTTGGACTGACTGCGACTCGTGAGCGTTTCCTTCTTGAGTTGGGCGTACAGCTCGTTTGCCTTGGCGAGTTTGGCTTTTAGTGTCTTGTTGGTGTTGATCAGATTCTGAGTCTCCGCCTCCACAGTCGCTTCTTTGATGTGCTTCCGCTGTAGCTGTCCGATGTGAGCAAGATGCTGCAATTTGAGATACCGCTCAAAGTTAAGGTCATTCCGAAGTAGCATGATCTCTCTTTGCAAAGACGCCATGGTGTGGTTTTGGAAGTCATGGTGGGTAGATTGATTGCCGGAGATTGATTGGGCGAAACTGTCCAGGCTGGGTTGATGTGCCACGAACCGCCGTGCGGATTGACCAGACATATCCGGCTTCTTTGTATCTTTAGTGGGCGGCAGTGTTGGAGAATCCATCATGTCGCGACCTTTCAGCAACGGTGAGGCCATAGACTTGATAGATACCGCGGACTTTATAGACTTGCTCCTTGATGGGAGTTCAAGATCGGGAACATCTGGAGCATCGCTTGACGAAACGTTCATAGTCGACTGGGTATTCCTCCAGCTTGCATCTGAATCGTGTACTGTTGTGCCGTCCTGGTCGTCCAGAGTGAATTGCGAGGGTATCTCTGGGACAGGGGGTAAGGCTGAGTTGGGTGGTGGGCCGGGGTCCTCCAAAGTCGACGATACGGCAACGCAAAGGTCCATGCATTCAATGACGACGTCAGCGGGGTCGCTTTTCAGCCACCTATTCTCGCTCAGCTCGTCTTCGACTGTGGTCGTGAACATGTTCGGGTGTAGTAGATGAACGCGACGGTAGGGTTCCGTCCGGCTGTGGATAAGATCTTGGTCCAGATCGAAGTCGCGCGCGCCTGGAAAGTTGAGTGACTTGAGATACTTCCTTGGCTTGCGCACAAAGCTCATGAAGTTGAGGGGGAAGAGGCCGTATAGGAAGGTGAAATAGTGCATGAGAGTCGGCGGCGGGCAATCAGGGTAGTCCATGGATGGCTGCACCTGCTCCCAGGCCTGTTCAGAGTCGACATCGGTTTCGTCATCCCCCTCTTCGCTATCGTTGTCTTGCATGTCCATATCACCGGCTTTCTCGTCGGCGTTACCCAACTTGTCCCAGCATAGTATCCGACAGTAGACCAGGAACATTTTCTCGAGGTGGTGATCAGAGGTCAGCGCTCCGCAAATGTGAGGCAGGAACATGATGAGGACGACGAGGGCGAGCTCGATGACAGTGGACGAGTTGTCTATGAGCAGGCATTTCTCCAGGTTCTGGATGAGCGGGGTCTCGAGGACGAGGTGGAGGTGCGGCGGCTGGAGGCGGACGAAGG